ATAGGGTGACACATGAATTTTTTAAATTAATATATTAAATAACATATTTTTAATAATATATATAATTAAATAAATAATAAATATATATATTTTTATATATACTAAGGTTAAGACTTAACACCCAAAATTTTACTACTCGATCTTGATTTAAAAAAAAAAACTCAATTCAATTTTCGCAAATTCAAAAAAAAAAGCATGAATTGGATTAATATGAATTGAAACCCATTAAATATGGGTTATTTTGCCATTTCAATCTCAATTAATTGTTTGATTACAAAATTTATTTAATAAAAATAAAAGAAAAAAGGAAATTGAAAGAATAATAGCTTTGAAAAAAGAAATAAAAAAGGAGGAAGATATCATATGGATACTTAAAGATTTAGTGAAACACCTTAAACTTGTATTTGACTCAATCCAAATTTAAAAAAAAAAATCTTGACCTAATCTTGGGATTTTTTTAAAAAAGCAGTTATGTTGAAATAGTATGAATTGAATCTAATTGGATATAGATTATTTTATCATCTATACTTAAGTTGATTTTTTTTTTACAAAATTTATCTAATAAAAATAAAGTTATAAAAACGAATAAAAAATAAAAAATTGATTTAATAAAGTTAAAAAAATAGATTTTTGGAGGAATTGAGAGGTGACATGTGGATACATTTTCCTTATTCAAGAATCTTCAAAATTAAATATGTAGATTTGATTTGTGTAAGGGATTTTGATTGGATGTGTGATTATTGGGCTTACGGTTTGGGTTTTGATAAGTGACCGTGATTTGGAGGAGGATTATTTGGTGTTGAAAAATCATTTTTGTGTTGAAGAAATTAGGAGGTTTATGGTTGAAGAAAAGAGAGAGAAGTGATTTGGAATTTATAAAAGAAAGGAAAAAACCAAATGAAAAATTGATAGAAACGAAAATGGTAACTGTGATTGGGAAAAATTAATAAAAATAAATCTTAAAGTAATTATGTGACATTTTAAATTTGAGAGGATACTTTCATTTTGACCTAAATTACATGCATGTTCACATTTAAAATTTAAAATTAGTTATTGCTTTTTATTGGTTATAATGAAATCTAAAAAATGATTTAACAAGTTTAATTAATAAAAAGGGCATAAACTTAATGTTCATTGTATAATTATATTTTTACTTGCATGATGTAAATGCAATAAAATTATGGGAATAAATCAAATTTATTCAATAACGAAATTCTTAAAGAATTGCGATCGAGTAATCTTTTAAGAAATATTTAGGTGTAAATTTTTTTTTTAATTTATCAAATAATAGAGACTTTAGAGGAAGATTTCAATATTGAAAACAAACATTTATTTCCAAGTAAATAAAAATAAAAATTTTTAAAATAAAATGGATGAGGAACACAAATTAGAAAATAGAAGATGTAGATATAGGATTTTTCCATAAAATATAAAACCAATCTAATAATGAAACTTTTTCAAGAAACGGATGTATTTTTTTTTAATGCTTTTAAGGTGAAAAATATTCTCAATATTCTGCAAGAATGATGGAGAAAATTTAAGAAATTTTTTTATATTTAAATAGTGAGATTTAATTTAATTTAAAAGATAATATTAGAATAATATAAGATTAATTGATATTATCTTTAGACAAGCTCTATACTTATAGGATAATAATATCTTTCTCATACATACTAAATCTAGTTTTGTAATATAGATTAAAACCTATTTTTAAAAAAAGTCTTGTCATATTTAAAAATTTTTAAAAATAAATAAATTCAATTAGGTGACTCATTATACTTAGGCTCATTTGGATAATCGCAAGATTGCTCTAATAAAATTAAGATTTCATTTGGATTCAATTGAACCTCTAATGGAAGTGAGATTATCAAGGATTTTTGTTTTCATCGCACTTAGCATGCATTCAGATGCAAACGGCCAAAAGAAATTGTGTCCGTTAGGCATTAGCACGTTTTGCTCTAGTGGCCAACAAGCCCTTAGCTTTTTTTTTTTTTAATAACTATTTTATCCATTATTTTATATTATAAATACAAAATATCTTTATAATTTAGTTTTTATTTTGATTTTTTGTTTAAAAACAAAATAATTGTTAATTTAATGTAATAAAAATATTATTTAATATATAGTTATTATTAATTCCTAATTATTTTTTATTAAAATTATTATTTGATATTAAAATAATTTAATACTTTTTAATAATTTATTATTTTGTAAATATTAAATAATTTAAAATTATTATTATATCTAATTTTAATCCAATACTTTTAATAGCTATTTTTTTTTACAATTTTATATTTAAATAAATATTTTATTACTAATTTTAATTTTACTATTATAATAATTAATCTCACATTCATTAATATTTTTAATCTCATTAAAATTAATCTCATCACCTTTTTAAATGGATCCTAAGTTCCATCACTTATCATTTAACTTGTTCTTGATTTGGATAATTAATTAATGCTCCATTTGAATTCAATTGAACTTGCCGAGACTGTTAAAAGATTTTTGTGCCTGATCAGAATTTAGTATCCAATTGGATGCAAAAAGCAATAGAAATGTGCCAGTTGTCACTGATATGTTTTGCTCATATAGCCAACTAGCCAATGCTTTTTTTATTTTTTACTTTTTAATCCTTAGTTTATATTATAAATATAAAAACATCTTTATAATATATTTTTTTCTTTGATTTTTTATTTAAAATATGAAATAATTTTGTTAATTTAATATATAAAAATATTATTTGATATTATTGTTATTATTAATTATTAAAATTTATTAATTTGATATTAAAATAGTTTAATAATCTAATAATAATTTAGTGATTTTATAAATGTTAAATTATTTAAAATTATTATTATATATAATTTTAATTTAATGTCTTAATGATTATTTTATTTTCTCATTATTATTCATCTAATTATTACCGTTACTTTTATATCCAAACATATATTTTACCATTAATTTTAATTTTATTATTATAATAATTAATCTCACATCCACTATTATTTTTAATTTAATTGAAGTTGATTTATCATTCATTCAAATGGATTATAAAAATAATGGTGGCAACAATATTAATTATTGTAACAATGACATTGAGGTACTATGACAGTAAAATTAAAATTAATAATGAGGTATATATTTAAATACAAATGTAACTATAATAATGAGGTGAGAGTAAAAAAAGATCATTAAGGGTTTACTCTAAAGGTATATTGATAAATTATTTATATACATATTTTAATATTATTTATAATAATTAAAATCTTTAATTTTTCATTCAATCAAAATCTTAATAAATATTATTTATTATGTAATAGCAAATTTTATTTGTTTATTATATAATAAAAATGATTTATTATATTAAATTAATGAAGTTATTTTAAAATTACAAAAAATCAAAATGAAAAAAACATAAAATGAAAGGTTAAATGACATGAAAATTATTATAATTTTAGGTAGCATTTTGTATAATTTTCAAGATCATCATGGCAATTTAATTATGACAGTGACTTTATTATTAAGATGATTATATCACTCTGAAATCATATTTTTTAATTAAAATAATTAATTCTTAGTAATTAAATATCACTATATTTGGTATTATTAAAAATGAAACATTGTTTTTATGTGAATGTACCAAAATAATCATACATATTATAATAATTATACAAGTTAACAATTTTAATATTATTTAAAATAATAATTTGTATAAAAAATATTACTGTATTTAGTATTATTAAAAATCAAACATTAATTTGTGTGAAAGTACCAAAATGACCATGCATATTATAATAATTACACAAGTTAATAATTTTAATATTATTTAAAATAATAATTTGTATATAAAATATTAGTAATATTTTTTTTAGTTTAGGATAAATATAATTAAATTATTAAATTAAATATATATTTATTGATAGTAATTAGTTTTTATAGTATAAATTATGTCAAAAAATTTGAATTAGAAAATAAAATTGATACATTAAAATCTAAAGATTATATTATTATAAAAATTTTAAAAAATTACACAAAATATTTTCAAATTTGTTACCATGAATATTAATATGAAAATATAAAATAATTACAATTAATTTTAAAAATAAATAAATTAATAGATATTATTGATTATTGTTAATATTTTATATCATTTTATTTCAGTGATACAAAATTTTCATCCTTTTAGATATAAATTAAATTAATTTCTAAAACTGTGAATTAATTACTCTCAATGATTTAAAATTATTATTACATAAAATCATTAAATGATTATTAAACAAGATTATCTAATTATTATTTATAAATTATTATAATTTTTTGAGTGAACATTTCATATTAAACATTATATTAAGGTAAAAAAAAAATTATCAAAATTGGAATGTGAGCTGCGGTTGAAAGAAAAAGATTTTGAAAGGAACTTTTTAGCTCCAGTGAATGACAGGAGGCTACCTTGTCTCATCATTGTCTCTAAACAACGAAACGATGTGATTTAACTCAAAATTGGGAGAAATCGTGTTGTGATTGTTTTAATCGCTTATCCAAATGAGCTAATTAAAAAATGTTAGGTGATTATTTTTTTGCGTTGAGTTCTTAAATTTGCATGTTATGGTAAATATAATTTGTTTATAAGTTAATTTGTTAATGCGATCCTACAAATATTCAAATGTATGACTCTTTTAAAATTTTAAAAGAAAAATAGAAATGGTAGATTAAGTTTGTGATTTATGAATTACTCAAATTTAATTGTTTTTTTTTTATAATATTGTAATTTAATTATTAAATAAATAAAGAATATTTTTATCATTAAAGAGTTATTAAATTAATATAAAATAAGTTGTTGCAAATTATACTTATTTATAAAATATATTTTTAATAATTCAATTTACATATGTTAAAATAAAAAAAAATAGTATTCATTAAAAATAAAAAAAAAAACACATTCAAATTTGCGTTTTAAACCGGTGCCTTGAGTACCGTCTCCACGCCCAACCCGGATAACTGGGAGGGAGGACAGACAAGCAAATTGAAAAAAATAGACCGCCTGAACCCAATTCAAAATTTTCAAAAGGATTTCACTTCTTACTCACTCTATCTCTCTCTCGCCGGAGGCCAAAATATGGATGCACCGCCGATTACTCTAGTAATGGTTCAGGGCCCACGTAAAGGCGAAACTATCGGATTCCAACCCGGATCCGCCATTCTGATCGGGCGAATAACGCGTGGCAACAACGTCCCAATCAAGGACGCCGGAATTTCTTCTAAGCACCTCACAATTGAATCTGGATCGGGAAAATGGGTCCTCCTAGATCTCGGATCCTCTAACGGAACAACTCTTAATTCCAATATGCTCCCTGCCAAAACTCCATTTGATCTCCACGACGGTGATACGTTGAAGCTGGGAGAGACTACGTCGATCTTGATCAAAATCGAAGGCCGTGGAGGCGGCGGAGAGGAGGTGGCAGTGGCAGTCGAGAGCCGGAGGAGGAGGAATCCGCCAAGGAGAGGTAAGGCTTTGAAGAGCGAAACAGAGAGTTTTAATAAAGAATTGGAGAATATAGAATTAGAAAAGAAAGAGAATGTTATAGTTACTAGGAGTAGGAAGAACGAGGATTCCATTAATCGCGGGTTATTTATGCCGAAGGTTCCTGAAAATCAGGAAGCCGAGGCGAAAAGAGGGAAAGGCCACCCTCGTGGGAGGAAAAAGAAGCCGCAGGAAGAAAAATTAAAGGAAAAAGAAACAAGTTTGATAGAAAAAGATGGACTTTTTATCATAAAAGATGAAGTGGATGAGGAGAAGGAGGAGCTGAGTTCTTTGCAAAACGAAGAAATTAATGTAAGAAAAGATGAAGAGAAAGTGGAAGATTCGAAGACCGAGGTTAAGGAGAGTTGTGATGAAAGGATAGAGGTGGATTTGGAGAAGATGACATTAGGGGAGTGGTTTGATTACTTGGAGGTTCATTTGCCGAAGCAGATAATCGAGGCGACAGAGGAGATGATTGAGGGTATGAGGAAGAAAGCTGAGAGGGTTCAGGAGTATATGGTGGAGCAGAAGGAGTAGAGTAAAGCTGCTTTGGGGTACAGGTAGGTATCAAGCACTTTGTTTTGTGGTAATTAATGACTAAATGCAATCTGCTTAATTCTTTTTCCGTTGAAGTTCTAATCTTTTAGCCGATAGGTATTTTTAGTATGATTTCGAATGTTTATATTTCTGCTGCTTGCATTTCTTAGTGTCAGAAATTTTAAGATGATTCTGCAAGAATTGTGCTTGTGTATTGTAGGAGCAGAGCCTTAGTGAACTAACAGAAATATTGTCCTGATGATTTTATTAGATATTGGGATAATGATAAACTTTGATCAACCAAGTGAGCTAGCAGTCCGTGCAGACAATGATTTCATATCTTTATATTTAGTTTTATGACATTGGTATTGTGACTTTACTCTTCATTACAATAATCGAGATAATTGGTTTATGTGAATCTCCAACTGTGCTTCCTGTAGCAATGTATGCTGCGTGCTTTATCTGGCCTGCGGATGCCGTTGCCTATGTAGTTTTACATTTAACAAGGTCAATTATAGCTAGTTTGATGTATGCTAAGAAGGCAATGAGTGTTAAATGCTTTAATTATCTTGGTCTTATAAGATATTTGTGTGAATCAGGGTCATTTTCTTCTTTAAGATATCTGCTAACATGCTTAACTCTCATCCATACTGGAATATTAGTAATTTCAGAGCTTGATGATTGGTAAGTTCTTTCCTCTGAATGAGGTGAATAAAGGCTCTTCTAAGAGATAATTGGAACTTTTTATACAATCTCATTTGCCACAATGAAGTTCTTTTTGTGTAGTATATGCTACCCTACGACTTCCGTTTTAAAGAAAGAAAATCTTACGTCTTCCTCGATGTATATCTTGACAATCTTTAGTATTTCAAAGTTATTAATGCACTTGTAATAGCTTTAACTTCCCACCATGACAACGATGTCTTTTATTCGTGATTACTTGAATTCCATGTCATGCTGCATTAAAATCTTTATCAATCCTTTATGTTTGCTGCTTCATTTACTGGTATTTTTGTGAGGATTGTTGAGAACACACAGATGCCACTTGTGAGGAAATCCAGTAATCTCATATATAATTTAGGATGTTTGGTTTGCGAAATTTAGGAAAGTGTGATATTTGGAATTTTGTTTGATTTTCAAGGTATTTCGTAATTAGATTCAATTATTTGGTTGGAAAAATTTTGGTTTATTAATTCATATATAATTATCATAATCTTTTTGATAAGTTGAAAGCAACTTTTCATTTTGTTTTAATAAAAGAAAATTCAAATAACAAATGAGGCTTTTAGCAGTAAAATTTTTTTTTTAATTTTTTAAAATTAAATATACACAATTATGACATTTAACTAGATATCAAGTTATAATTGTTATATTAAAATATAAAAAAAATTAATTATAGCGTTTGGAAGAGTTAAATGCTTTATTTGCTTTTGTAAATAAGTTAAAAAAAGAATCATTTAAAAAAAGGTTTTATTTGAATTTGTAAAGATCTTGAAAGATTTTTTATCAACCAAAGCCTTAGTAAAAAGAAATATTTTATTTGAATGGGTTTTGCAAATATGTTAGAAGAGTTAAATAAAATGTTTATTCAAATAAATATTTTATTTGCTTTTGTAAAAATTTTGAAAAATCGTTTATTAAATAAGGTATTTATAAAAAAGAAGCGTTTTATTTGAATGGATTAAATATGATGTTTGTTTAAAAAATATTTTATTTGATATTTTTGTAAAAATTTTGAAAAAAGCATTAAATAATATGTTTGTTCAAAAAAAAAAACTTTAATTGATTATCAATTAAAAGATTTAAAAGAAAAAATATTTTAATTGATATTAAAATTAAATTAAAAAAAGATTTTTTTTTTTGAAAAAAAATTAAAATTGAGTTTCAGAACTTGGTTTTTTAATAAGATAATAGATATGTTATAAATTTTTTATTCAAGTTAAATTTAAAAATAAAATAATTTTTTTTAAAAAATTTTAAAATATCACAAAAAATATGAGTATTTGATTTTAAAATTTTGGATATTATTAAAAATTTGATATTTTTTTCATATTAAGATTATTTTAAACTAAACAAGTATCTATTATAAAAATTTTGAAAAAAAAAATTTATAAATTCTTCTTAATCAAATGCACTTTTAATTGAGAAATAATTTAGTTTCGCCAGCAATAATACTACTTTTGTGATGTAACTGCTCGGCAAACATGCATGACAAAATAATATATCAAAATAATATGCGAAAATAGTAGCCAATAAAAACACTAACGTTTATCTGATTCGGCATTCCGCCTATATCACGGACAGAGATGACAAGAAATATTCACTAAATCAACAAGATGAGTGTAAGTGTTTATACACTCCCCAAAAGCCTCACTAACCTATTGCTCTAGAGCTATACTCTCTGTTACACACCCTAGTACCTTCCCATCCCAGTACCTCTATTGGTTCTCTTCTAGGCCCTAGGTATTCTAGGCTTACGGCTATGTTCTCACCTCACCACTCCCACTGCCCCTCACCACTCTCTCCTTACTTGCTACTTCGACCTCTGTAAGGCACCTCTTCTTGGCACTCAAAGACACGCAGGATAAACCAACAGCCTTATTCATAGGCAAAATTTTCGGCCTTTCACTGTAGCAAGCATGGTACTGTACCACGTGGCAATTAATGTACATGAAGCGGGTTGTAGCATAGGCTGAGAATGTCTAAAGTTGCAGCACCGAATCTTCTCCAGAATTCAGTTCTTCCAACTTTCCATCTTGGCGGCACACTGTAGCACGGCTTCTGTCACTGTTTCTGGCTGGCTACTGTAGTTGCGGTGAGACTGTAGCACTTCGTCGGCTCTGATGAAACTCTCATAATTATTCTATTGGACTTTGCATTGCATTATGAAGTCACCAAATTCATAGAGCTAATGACTAGACGATTCTGGTAACTGCTTTCTGTTCATCCTGCAAATTTGTTAATCAAAAGTTTGTTACAACTTGAATTCTGGCATATAGGTTCTAAATGAAACCTCGGTCAAAATCTAAGCGTGCTTTTAAATCCATCAAAATTTGTAAAATTTAACCTAGAGATTTAGTATTCCATTCCTTGAAACATGCTTTCTGTACAACCTGTACATTATGTATATGTATGGATTATAATATTTTTGTAATATTGATTATCAATATATTCAAATTCTGGGAACTTTGATCCATTTTCATATACTTGCTGCTATGTTTATATTTCAAGAAATTGGATGCTATGCCCCCTAAATATGTCAATTAGAAAGCTTTAGAGGTTGGTTCGGTCCACATCCCTGGAGCTAGTGGCAGGGGTGTTCACAGGTCGGGTTAAAATCGAATTAATAGATCGAATTAAATTAAATTAAATTAATTGGTTATTGAAAATAATTTAAAATAATTTAATTTTTGATTAATTTGATTATACTATTAAATTAATTGCAATATGACAAAAATTCATGAAATAGATTGTTTAATTTTATAAAATGGTTAAAAATTTTAACATAATATTTTGATATTTAAATATTTTATTGAATAATTTATTTAATTTGTTGTAAATATGAAAAATTATAAATTTAAAATATAATTTAATTTAAATATATTTTATTCTTTAATTAATTTAAAGTTTAATTAAATCAATTAAATTAAATTTGATCAATTAAATTTTTAAAATTAATAAATATGATTAAAATTTTAAAATTAATAAATATGATTCAATAAATAAAATATTATAATAAATTCTTTAATTTAATTTTAAATAATTTAATTTAAAAATAATCAAATTAATAGAATGAACATCAGAGATGCTTGTGATTTCAAATTGTTGGTCGCAAATTGTTCCGATCAATCTTTTTCTTTGCTTTCAGCTCTTGGTACATCCCTTATGATTTACAAGAGAATTGAGCTTTTACTATCATTCTTGGCGTGACTGTCAAGAAAAAAAAGGCTTTGAACTCTCTTATACTGAGTTGAACCAACAAAAAGCAAAAAGGACTTCATATATTGTAACAAACGTGATTGATTTTGTCCTAATGACAATTTACAATTTACAAATATTAATATACTCAATTATCACGAATGAACTTTACCTGCTCAGGCGCACTATTTTTTTGATTAGTTAATATGTGATTGAAATTATCATTAAAAATTACGTGGTTGAGAGGATTTATATTTGTAATATTTAGAGCATATTAGAAATTAAAAAAAAAAAAAAAACCTTTACCTGCCCAATTCCAGTCAACTTTACTAGGCCGCTAAAGTTTACCAAGTAATTGACTGATAACATCATCTGTATCTCTTTCTGTTCCAAAAGATTGTCAATGATGTCTGCAAGCAAACGTTTGTAAGAAAATTCTTTCATTGCTTTTTTTTTTTTTTTTTTTATTAACTTTCTCCCCACGCATATCTCACCTGTGATCAGATATAAGAGAAGGAAATGTTTTCTTTTTTGAACTGAAAAGCAGCAGACCAACTGGGGAGCAAAGAGAGCTAAGAAGCAATGGCAAGCTCGAGCTCCCTCCCTCTCCATCTCTGCCATGTCAACCGGTTTACAATGATCATCAACAGGTCACATGCACTCCTCCATTCAATCGCCATAGTTTTCTTGATATACTATAGGGCTTCTTTCCTTTTCCAAGAAACCCAAAACAGAACCACACCCATTATACCATGGCTTGTAGTTTTTTCCTCTGAATTGATTCTTTCTTTCATATGGCTCCTTGGAAGAGCTTATATTTGGCGTCCTGTTTCTCGGACTTTATTTCCAGAGAGACTGCCAAATGATGACAAACTTCCAGCCATTGATGTTTTTATTTGCACCACGGATCCAGATAAGGAGCCTACAGTTGGGTATGAATACTTTGTATCAAGCTATGGCGCTTGAATTATCCACCAGAAAGGCTTCATGGTATCTTCTGATGATGGGGTTATGCTACAACTTTGATGGTATCAGGAAGCCTGGAGATTGCAAGGTGGTGCTTTCCATTTTGCAGGAGGTGATGATATCAAGGACATAGGTCACCCAGGGCTTATTTTTCAAGAACTGAGGATGACGAGTCTGGACTCCAAAGTTCAAATTTCATGGGAAGAAAGGAAAAGATCAAGGTTTGTTGACAAACAAATAGCTTTCTACTTTTGCTACTCAATTTGAAAGTTTGGATGCTTATTTGTCTGCCCAAGAAAATGATGATTGATACAGGTAATTTTTGGTGCAGGAAAAGTCATGAGCTGTTCAAGGAACGTGTGACAATAGCTAGAGAAGATAGGAAGCTCATGGAATAGGTGTTTAACACTGCAAGCAACCACCCTTCTGCATGAGGTATTTCGTTCCAGATACGTACATATACTATGGCATGAGTGGGTATAATGATTGAAGACTTTAAGCACAGGATGAAAATGACTGAAAGTGCATGATTTATTTCTCACTAGATAAGGAAAATGATAAGGACAGTTTGTGGCTGCAATGTATTGCACCTCAATGTCATGTAACCCAATTGCAGCTGTCCACGTGGTTTCGTTCAACACCTCTTTAAGTTTAAGGGGTGGATTCTTGCTTGACAGTGATTCAAATCAACTTATAATTGTATACTTTTTTTTTGCTACAAAGGAGGTTAGAGCCGCTGGAAGCCACCTCTCTTAAAGGGTGGCCACATGAACCGGGTTCCGTGATTGTATACTTTAGCAATGACATGAGTTGAATACTTAAGTCTGTGCAGGGGATCACCTGTAGCATTTCATCTAGATAATTGAAGTCTGGAGAAACAATATTATACGAAGATAAGTAGTGAAAAATAGTATTTAAATGTTGTCAAATATTTGCAGGTGATACAAGAGTATTCGAAAGAGGGATTGCAGGAAGATCAAATTAAGATGCCTCTTTCTTTTGTCTATGTTTCGCTGAAAAAGGATTTCTCCAGTCCCACCAACTTCAAGGCTGGAGCCCATCAATGTCCTTGTATTTACTCTTCTACTCTACACACACAACAT